GCTGAACATCTTTTCTGTATTTTGCATTTCACCTAAAATTATGCTGTTGCAAATGACAATAACAAACCAACTGCTTATTCATTTCAGGATGGAGTTTTGTGGAACACACTCTTGTCCAATAAATCTGCTCACTCACTCAAGGTATCTCCATCAGTCTTTCAAGCACATAAAAATAAAAGCCCTTCAGTTTTGCTGGCTTCCTGTGGGCATAGCCCCACAAAATGCATATCTAGAACAGTGCCTCTTGGGTTCACAGCAATGAGTCCAGGGACAGCTCTAGTTTGTATTCAGCCATCTAAATGAGCTCTTGTACTGTGTATTACGTGGAGTTTTCTAGTATTAAAGGTCAGTAAAGCGGTTATTTTAAGTGAACTTTGTAGTCTCACTTTAACGAGAGTCAAGATGGTAAATTTCTCTCCTCTCCTCTGAATGCGGTCTCTCTCTTCTTTCCACTCATATTGTACTACAACAACAACTTTACGAAAGTCTCTCTTCCTGTAATCCAGAGTAAAGATAAAAATAAAATCACAGTCAGAGTGTTAAAGCAGGGAGATTACCCTGGGAAAGTAGTAACCTGCACTTGCCTTGTTCTTCTAGCTTTTTCTGAACCATGCATTGCTGGTCACTTCAGGTGACAGCAATCAGGGTAGCTGGACCACTGGTGTCACCGCCAGTCATTCTAAAGCTGAAGCATCTGAGTCCATTAAAATATGTATTTGATTATAGGAGAACTTATAGGAGACAATAAGATCCCATGAGAAGCCTAGTTTAAGGAATTAGTTGTTTCTTAATGTTCTTAGACAAGCTAAGCCTGCTTTTCATCTTGATACAAATTTGGAATAAGTGTTTAGGAGCTTATCTTCAATAAAAAAAAAAAGACATCAAGAAAAGATGTGGGTAGTTAATCACAATAAATGCTTGCTTAAGCCTTAGACCTCTAACTTTTCCCCAGTAACTACCAATACTTTTGGGACATTCTACCTACGTTAAACATCACTGTCACAGTTGAACTCTAAGGGTTGCTTCTCGTCCCACAGGTTCCACGAGCCCAGGCCCTGTACACCTATCGTGGGCACAGTCCCGGGGAACTGAGATTCAATAAAGGAGACATCATCATGTTGCTCCGACAGCTAGATGAAAACTGGTATTTGGGTGAGATCAATGGTATCAGCGGTGTTTTCCCAGCCAGCTCCGTACAAGTCATCAAACATCTGCCGCTGCCACCACCCCTCTGTAGAGCACTTTACAACTTTGACCTAAGAAGCAGGGACAAAAATGAAAACAAAGACTGCCTGACATTTCATAAGGTAACACCATCCTTTCAGCAGCCAGAGGCTGGGTAGTATGGGTTGGGCTGTTTTTCCACTTCAGATTGTGTTATATCCTACAACTTTACAGCTTCATAGTAGCCTCCTTCTAAAAATCCTAAAGCTCTGTACAAAAATCAGTGAGGTTACCAAGCCCCACTGGAGTATCAGACACTGATGTTAGTGGCTGAAAAATCTCACATGCTACTTCCCTGAGGACACACACTGATACTTACAAAACGAGGGGCATCTTGAGAGGGATGCAAGCACAATCCTCAAGCAGCACTTTCAGTCCCCTGTTTTAGCTTCTCTACAAGGCTCCTCTAATCAGTCAGGAACAGCTGATAGTTGCAGTCTACCTTCAGTACCAAAACACTCCAGTGGTATCTTTAAAAGATGCTTAATGACATATTAAAGAAAACTGCTGCTGAGTCCAGGGATATATTGTTTACATACCTTGAACATATTCAGCAAATCTACTAGAAGCATACATTCACAGAGCAATACCTGAGCTTTTGCTGTACCTCCTTTCATTCCCCAAAGGTTACGGAGCTTGCATTTATTATCTGTTATGAGTACACAATTTTCTGAGTAACTGCACCTCCCAGCAAAGTCCACTCTCATTAGAGTGTCAAAACAAGGTGAGGTATCACAGAGCAAAACAGGGAAAGCAGTGCCTACAGGCATCAGTCTCCTAACAGAAAAGTCACCTCTTCTTCTTTCCAGCTGGCAGCACAGGTCCGATGATGTACTAGGTCTCGTTGATGGAAAGAGGCATGAGAAGGAGGCTGTGGTCCAGGCCAGGTGTCTCCAAGGAGTCAGAGCTAAATGTGGGGTGGTCAAGGGACAAGAAAAATCAAATAGCCAAGAGCCAGCTGTGGTTTCTGACTAAGAAGGGGAAGAACCAAAAGAGAAAAATCAGTTCTCAGAGCAACATTGCACATCACCAGCAACAGTATAAAATGTGGGTTTTCTCCTTGCTAGTGCAGACACAAAGAACCTGCAGAGCCAGCAACCCTTCCATTATCATTACAATTTACTTATTAACAGGAGGCACCTTGGCCAGTTTTCTGCCGTCTGGATTTGTTTTTTCTTTTTCACTATATTTGTCTTTGTTTCACTGCTTACTCATTCTGTTTATTTGCTTTAGGAGGCTGTGCTCATCTTCACTCCCACAGCAAAGTTCACACATGGAGAGTTAGCACACATCTAAAACAAACAGATGCTTCTTCAAAGAGGCGAGAACATCCTCCTATCCCCATGCTTTGCAACACCAGTCAGTTGCTGTATGAAGTGTCTGAAAGATCTGGAGCAGTTACTTTGGTAACTTCCTCCTGCGATAACCTCGAGGAAATGCCAGGGCCGATACTGCATCTTCCTCCAGCTGAGCATAGCACTCCTGGATAACTGGCCAGCTTCAGGGAGTAACTGGGAAATCCCTCCTCTCTGCAAGCCATCTTAAAGAAACAGTCTGTGCTTCCTGGAGCCCTAGCAGACAGGAGAACCTTAACACAGGCATGCTGGAGCCTTGGATGGGTGATGCAAGAGTTGCGTTTGTCCAAGGTGAAACTCAGCCTGACTTTAGACCAGAGTTCTGCTGGAGGCAGCTTGATCTAGTTTTTCAAAAATAAGAGCTGGCTTCTGAATTGGCTGTTAAAAAAAACACCTCTAAAAAGCTTCCGTTCTTGCTGCCTGTTCTCACAGGAGTCCTGCAAGTTGCACCTGGCTGAGCAGGTAACTTCTCTTCCTCATCACCTCTCTCATCTAGACAAGATATCTCTCTATCCGTCTGTTTAGCATCCTGCCATTTCCCCCATTCTCCGCATACTCTTCCCCTGCCTCTGGGATGAGCTGACAGAAAGTTGGCAACAAACCTGCCTGGAAATTTATGCAGTGATTCAAGTGCACTATCAAGTAGCAATCTTTTATTATTCAAGGAAGTAGTTAGCGGATAGCCTTGATTTGCCTGTTTGAACCTTAAGAGCCATTTACCTCACTGCAAGATTAATACAAAACTTCCACCAATTCAAATGGAAACTTTGTGCACATACTCTGTGTGAGAGTAAACATTTTGGCCAGCAGAAACCAGCCTCTTGTGCCACTTAGAGCCTTGGAGTCAATAAAATTTCAGCCCCAAACTTTGTGTATTAGCTCAAAAGAGAGAAAAACAAATTTGTTCCTGTAAAATTCTCTTTACTCCCTCCCTCCAATACACACATCTCTGGCAGATATCCTTAAAAGATGAAATTAAAATATATTAAAAATTAACAGGATTTAATTTTTGCTGGGTTGCTCAGAAATGTAGGTCTTTCCAAAGAGATTTAGCTATCAGTCAATACGAACTAGCTCTTTTTCCTCTGGAGTATTTCAAATATTTCCACTTCAATAACATCAGGATATTTCAACTCCCGAGTTTCTTGGCAGCATGACACCACTTACCTAGACACTTACACAGTTTTTTTCCTTGGTACATAGCAAAAATGCCATTTTTATTATGAATTCTGTGCATGGTGATTGTAGAAGAACCTCCGCATGATGAAAGCCTTCAAACAAGTCAAAAGCTCGTGTGCTTTTCGTGCATTTTGCATTAGAATCATGTCCATGGCCCTGATTCAGCCAGGCTTGTACCTTTAAATTAAAAACATGTTTAACCATTGTGCTAAATAAGGACAGACAAGCCTGTGTTTCAGAAAAATACATACCAAAAGCTTTGCTGAACAGAGGACTTTATAGGGGACACACCACTGAGGCTATTTAACAAGGCTGCTTTGTGAAATTACAGGGTGAACCCATCTTCACACCTACTATCCACCTCTCCCACAAGAGACATTGGTAACAATATACTCCTGCCTTTCAGGGTGATATCATCACAGTCATCAGCAGAGTTGATGAAAACTGGGCAGAGGGCAAGTTAGGCGACAAAGTAGGGATCTTCCCCATCTTGTTTGTGGAGGTAGGTACAGTCTGTTCTCAGCCACGTATTCAACCCCTCACAACATGGAGCAGACAGCCCCATGTCTGTACCCCCTATGGTTAAAGCCATTCTCCATGGGGCCCATTACAACTCACTAGCTGCCTCTCAGTTTTAAAAAGCAAGAACAAACAGCTTTCCCTCTCCCTCACTGAAGTGAGACCTTCAGAATACAGAAAGAATTGGCGTACAAAAATACCCAGAAAATTTCAGGTAGACTATCAAAATCATAATCAGTTCTGCTATAATTATGTACCATAACTATGTCTCATTGAGGATACATAGCATAAGTCCAACCAACTGACTCTGGGTCACAAGGGCCTCAAGTTACAAGCACCCTCTGTCCAAGCCAAACCAGAGCATCAGAGGTGGCGCCCATGGCCGTGTCAGTCTCCGGAGCCCTTTAAGCCGCCCGCTCCCTGACAACTTTTTTTGTTGTCGTTAACACTGGGCTAGTCATTAACTGTATTCCAACAGTTAAGCTTGAGGTGCAGAATGTAAATGGCACCAACAAGAATTCCTAGAAATGAAATTAATTGTAATCATCGTAATTATTGCAAGCACTTCTTCATGGCTATTTCATAAAAGGACACTAGTAAAACATCTTATTTGAAGTTCTAACACATTTTGTAAAATGTCTTTTCATTTAATGAAATCATTTTAATTCAGTAATTACTTATTTAAATCTGACGTTAACAAAAATAAGTTAACTAGGGCCATATAAAGCCACTAAGGAATTAGAAATAAAATATGAAGAAGGCAAAAGTAGGACTAGTTTGGTATATACACAACTTTTCTTGGCTTTCACACTTAAATTTGCACCCTGTTTTATCCAGGTCCCTGGTGCTGAGTGAAGGCAGAAAAATGGTTCTGGTTTAGGCTCAGGTTTAATTACGTACAGAAATGACAACATTACCACTTTATATGTGTACACATGCGCACGCTAAGGTTTTTAAAACTTGATTTAAGAAGTGAGGAGGAGGGAAACATGAAAACAATCCGTGCTTTAAAATGATAATGCTTAAGACAACTACCTGTTCTGTGTTAGGCTAATTCTTGTTCACCCCAGGAGCCAGGCATATTGCTTCACATGAGTGGGCGAGAATCTTAAAGTTTTGCAATTCGTTAATGTCAGCAGTAAATCATGATTAATTCCTTTGGCAGTCATCATGGTTAAAAACAAAAAACCATTGTCACCACATGCCCTTTGCTGCTAATACAGTAGTGATCAGCAGTTTCCAAGACATACTGTTTACATGTTGCCTCTACGCAAACACAGGGCCTGACTCTTCTCTGATTAAAATCGATGTTAAAAAAAGCTGTTTTCTTCAATGGAAACAGGATCAAGCTATGAATGGTTTGGCCTAGGGAGACATAATTGGATGGCCACTATGAGGGAGGGCTTCTCTAAACTAACGCCTAAAGGATGGCTGTAGAGGTTTGAAATCCTGTTGTGAAATGCACCCAAGCTCGCCAGCACAAAATGGAAGACTGTGCAAGTCAAAGGTTGTGACAAAAAAAGAAGCTTTCTGTACAGCACTGGGGAGGAGCAAGTGGGGCAGGGATGGGGAGAAGACATTCAAGTCTCAGTAACGTTGTCTAAGCAACACATTTTTCAAACCAATTTTAATTTGGCTGTCAGCTTTGTATCAGTAATTTTGCATTTAGGATTTGACACAGCAAGCGTAAGAGTAACATAAAAAAGAGCCACATATTTTTAAAGATCACCTATAATATCATCTCAAATCTGAACACAGCTGTGCTTCTAGGCAGGAAAACATAGGGGGGAAAAAAAGAGCAAAAAAACTGGGCTGAATCTGTGAAAAGTGCAACTTCTGAAATAGCATCATTAAATTTTTCTTCTTTCTATTCCAGCCAAACACTACTGCAAGACAACTCCTACAGACAAGCAAAAGCCACCGGTCCCCTCAGTTTAAATATGCATCACCTTTAAGAACAGCATCTCCCAAATCAAAAGACACAGATTCACCAACTTTCCACAAGGTATCAGACTCGAGAAGGAAGAGCCTGAGACAATTTTCAATCACGACTGCCTTAAACACTCTCAACAGGATGGTCCATTCACCCTCTGACCGGCAGACCTTGGAGATCAGCTCTCCTGTGCTCATCAGCTCGAGTAATCCTACCGTGGCAACCCAGAGCAGTGAGAAAGTGGAATTTCCTTATGGCACACCTCTCCAGGTAAGACAGCAGCAGTATGAACACTACAGGAATAGCACCATGCCAAAATGCAAATTCTAGGTAGAAATGCTTCCTGTGCAGATAGAAATTCAAAGAGTTAAAGCACAAACAAACACTAAAACAGCTCTTTTAGGAAGGATTGTCTTGCATTTATGGATTTGTATTTGTGGTGATATAAACATTATGCTAAAGCTTAATTGAACTTGGATCCTTCATTAGTTTAAAACTTGCATAGTGTTTAGAAGAAAGAAAGATGACAAGGTACTCCTGGTAACAGCATCGATAACGCAATATGTCACCTATGAAGTCCAGCAGCCTAGGCCTTTTTCCCTCCTTTGAATTGGAAAGGCCTGTCTTTAGCGTTCAGAGACCCAATGGAACCCATAAAAAGAAAGAATAAGTCACCAAAGTGACTGAACTTGGATAAAACACATTCCCATTCTGATTTCTTTCCTATGATAGTAAGCTGCAGGGATAGAAAATGAGAAAACGGACAGTTTAACTTACAAAATAAAATATTTTCCGTTTTAGAAAGATTAATACAGAACATGAATTTTCAAGGGAGTTCACTGGGCCTTGGCTCATTTACAGACACATGCCCGTGTACATGCCTGAATTCACACTACAAACAAACATTTATTTTGCCATGTTACAACGCTGATCCAAGACAGACTGCTCTCAGTGTCTGCAAAATTAAAGCTAAAAGCAATCATGGGCCACATTCAGCTATGTTACTTCAGTGATGAGAGCCTTTCTTAGCTTGTCTCACAGAATTAAGTTGCAAGTACTAGTATGTGTTGGCATAAACACTTTCGGTGTTCCAGTTTCTACACTGCCAAATTGCTAGGTAATAAGCTGACTGCAGTCAAGGGGAGCTTTGCCACCTACTTCAACAAGAGAAATATCTCACTATTACGACTTTGTCAGGTTACAGCAGCATGGTAGGACGTGCAGAATCAGGCTCTCAGTTATGAGGCAATAAAAGCCCAGCAACATTAATGAAAAAGTTGCACTGCATTGAGTGCTCTGTACTGTCAGTGATTGTTTTAATGGCCTTTTTCATCTGACCCTGTGCTTAAAGAGAAGTAGAAATCTGCTCTTCTTCTATTTGTATTTCAATTTTGCTGGCAAGTCAAGTGCACAAGGAGCTCCCCAACCTCAAAAGCTGTTGATTAAAAACCAAAATCTCTATGCATGCTATCACGTTTTGATACCCCTACTCGCAACCTGAGTTTTGCCTGGAAATTTTGTACAGGTGGAACTCGAGGACTTTGAATACTTGCATAGGATTCCTGCACATTCAGCAGCCAAATCACACTGCCTCCTGCGACCAGCCTCCTGCAAGTTGCCCACTATACATGCACCAACCAGCTCTGCAGGGCATGTACCATAGAGCTTATGTGTTTGGAATACGTAAAATCTCCTGGGCATGTACTGCACAGCTGCTCTGTGCCTGTGCACTAAATCCAACATGCTAGGGGCTTGCTGCACAACTGGTATGCAGGACATATGCAGACATTTCAGCATGGCAAATCCTGGCCAGAAGCATGGAGCTCCATTACTATATTCTAATTCATTATGTTTTCTCCAAAGGCAAACCATCTACAGAATAGGCTTCCTCACAAAAAGCAAAGATGTGCTATCCAGCAGTGCTGTAACACCTGCTGAAATAATTATCTAGCCTCCTGCTTCTTCTAACCACGGTCCCTTCTTAAAGGCATTCAGGCTCTTTGCCCTATGCTATATTAGTCTGCTGCCTGCACCTATCCACTTCTAGATGAATGGTTTCTACCATGAGAGCGCAATTACCATGGAGTCCTTGCCTGTCTACGAGCTAAACCTAAGACTATGCTGAGAGAGGCTGAACTGGACTATATTCTCTCCTTATTTTAGGAGACAAAAAGAGTATCATTCCTTCTTCACACTCTGATCAGAGATCTCAATACAGAATCTTTACAGATCATTTGAAATAGGAGGAAAAAAAGCTTTTGTTTAGATTTATATGACATCTTTCATATTCAAGGTTGCTCTAAACGCTTTATAAAGAAATAAGCCAGGCCCTAGTAGTTCAGTGTCTAGGCAATGAAACCCAGCAGGCATTTTGTACTTAGCAATAGCCTGCAAAGAGCCTCGGATGTTAGATCCTGTTTTATGTGAGACGAAATGAAGCCTTACAACAGAACTATAACTCAACTGAAATTGTATCATGTCTCATGAATTCAATATCATTTTGCCAAAAATGTCTCAGTGTGAACTATTGTCAACAGCAGAGTGAAAATGTTAACTTGTTGCTTAGAATGGTTCTGAATTTCCTTTTTACTATATGATATTTTTTTTCTCCTGGAGATTTACAGGAGAATATATTTGTTCTTGTGGCCACACAGCTTGCATTTTTTCCCTTTTTTATACCTGGATTTGGCTTGCTGTATTTGCCTGACCTGCAAATTTGAGATCCTTACGCAAGTCTAGACAAAAAACTGCCAGGTTAGATAGAAAACAATATTAGAAAACAACATTAATATTTCTAATATTAGTCAGATTGAAAGCTGCAGTGGGGAATTTGTTAATAAGGGAACCTTCACAATTAGAACAAAAACTCCAACAACTTCTGGTTAAGAATAAAGAATAACGAATAAAGAGTAACTGCAAAATAATGGGAGACACAAGGGTCGATGTTAATTCCAAAGGTTAATTCCAAAGGTTACTTTATCCAGAGCTTGTCAACTTCTTGTGGAAGTTTTGCCCTGATGGTAATAGACTTTTGAAAAAATAGTAGTGCATATCCAAAAGCACGGTTGTATCATGACAATTAATTATATATACACAACATCACCTGGAAGGAAAAAGATCTATTTCTTGAACTTAAACTACTCCAGAGAAGACAGAAAAATACTGGAAGTAATGAATAATTGTGCACCTAATGCCAGCCCTGAAAATTCAGCCTTGGAGTCTCTGCATCAAACTGGGGTCTTTCGTTACTAGCAATGATATAAACGAAAGAGTTGCACAGATTGAACTGCCCTCTCTATTACTTCTGTGCATTTTTGTGCCCTCTAGTAAGTTTTCAGAGGTTGAGTAGCCTGGATCTTTGTAGGTGGTCACAAATATGGTGCACCTAGTGGAGATGAATCTCTAGCTCAAGCAGTTTCAACTCCTGGTTGTAACCCTCAGCACAGTTCATCCAGGTGTCAAGTCTGTACTCATAACTCTGCTGAGTAATGAATATGGATCCTTGTTCATGATCTGTCTGAGAGCCACCTGCAAACAGCACAGCGTCTCAAAAGGGTTTTCCAAAATCTGGCAGGCAAGACTTAATAATTTTTGAGAGTAAAGTAGGTAAGACTTTCAATGCTTGTTTAATGGAAGTTGTCCCATAAGACAATGTATAGGGTTGGATAGTTTTAGCTCAGGAAGGGCTTAGCTATATGCAGTAGCCTTTGAAAGGGGGGGGAAAAATCCATGTATAGAAGGGCTGGAAAATACTCGCCTTGCCAGGTGCTTTCGCAGGGAATGCTGATGCCAAACTTTTTTGCCACACAGAAGGAGGTATAGCGCTGGAAGGGAGCAAGTATTTGCATAAGAATGAGGAGACTGGGTGAAGTCATAGAGGCTCTGCTCACCCCGTTAACGGGTGAATCACTGGCATGAGGAATGCACACCGCAGCATCCGCCCACCCTGGGAGCGAGGGAAAGTCCATGTTCTCCTATCTGGGGCTTCCATGTGAAACCCAACAAAGTCTGAGAGCAGCCACAGCCTCTGGGCTCCACACCCAAACACCAGAGCTTTTCTCCCTCAGAGAGAAACTGTCCTTGTCAGCAGCATCCCTGAGCCCTGTTGCTCACACCTCTCCTTGCCGGGTAGGTGCTTGCTCCGTTGGAACACACCGTCCTAAGTATGCTTGACTGTGAATTTTGTCCTTTCAGGCAATGACCTGGTTTCATACCCTTTGTGAGATAAGGATTTAAGGCCTTATGAGACTAATCGAAAGGAAAGGAGTAATGCTGCAATCAGATTTGAAAGAAGCAGGCTTAGGATCACAGCACGGAGAGTCTTAGCCTCAGTGGTCGTTTGGGGACGGGGCAGAAAAGAACCTTAGCAATCCAAAACTGAAAAACAAGTGACCCTATTACTATTTCAGTTTTTCAATCCATCTCCTCTGCAAGAACATTCTTCTAGACAGATATTGAAGATGGATTTAGATCTAGTAATTAAAAAAAAAAACCAGGCATTTTGAATGGAGGTGTCCATCCCTTAATTTGGGGGGTTTAGGATTCCTCCTCCCCCCTGAAAGTGGGAATTTTCCAGTAGTCTCTAGTTATATGACACTCGCCCTAAGCTATAAGGCTACATGTGTTCCAGGGAGACAAAGAAGAGAGTTAGCATCCTGAAAAGCCCTGTGCTGACATCCCCAGGGAGGCTAGCACATGGCAGAGGGAAGCAAAGTTTATATTAGGAAAAAGAAATGAAGGTAAAAAAGGCTGTGCCAGGTATTTCTACAGTTTTCCAAACATTATATACCTGACTGCCTGGCATTTCCGCTGATGAGGAACAGGTCAGACTCATTCCAGGCCATAAAAGGGAATAAACTGAGAGAGGCTGGCATTCCTATGGGCCCTCCCACCACCTCTGTAAGTGCTGGCACATTAAAATACTCTTCCTTCCTTTTAGCATTGCCAAGCCAAGTACCATAGTGGAGCTAAAACCAGTTTGCAGGGCTTGTGGCTCACCCTGTCTGTGCATGTGTTATGTTGTGCAACTGAGCAGGCAGCAGGGGAGAAGGAGAATGCTCTATTGCTAATCTGAACCTTTCCTCTGTGCTTCCAAGAGGATATACAAGAAGCTACAGGAATCTCTCATCAAACTACTGAGCTCACTTCCCAGTCACAACTAAGCTTATTGCTGTGGGCCTGGCACTACTTGGGTCAGGAAACATTTGACTAGAAGCCACTTCACTACTTATTAAAGTGAGCCAGTAAACCTGACATCCACCATCAAGTAC